ATGTCATCAACTCGGAGACTCACTCTCGTTGCTGCCGCTTCCATTTCTTCCATTTATTTTTTTATATTTGTCGCCTAATTGAAATATTAGTCGAGGATTTCACCATTCTGAGTCACGCGGGGCATGTGCGCTCGAGTTAGAGTTTTAGGCAGGAAGATGGATATGATCTGCGATCTATGGGCGATGGCGATGGCGATGGGATGCGATGCGATGCCGCTCTGTGACTTCCACTTACGGCCGGGAGTTCAGGAGTCTGCCACTCTTTATTTATAGCCCATCCATCGCCTCATTGTGACTCGTGTGGCTCGAGACGTTTTTGGTTATTTTTGCCACATTGCTGATGTCTGGAGTAGCAACTGGAAATTGGAAAGGGAAAGCGAAGAGTGATCTAACGAATATTAAATACCCTTAAGAGCGTATTAAGGTGTTGAAATGATTCTAAGAGTTGTTTTAAGCCAAGCTAATAGGTTTATGTATTTATTATATAGAAATCGAAAGTATATATCTTCATACTTCATTTTCTTTTCTTAACATGTTCTTAGTCAGGGTATTCATAGGACCATTTCGAATCTACCATCCCCACTTGGCGGGGCTAATTACATGGAGCATATTTTTAGGCCCAGACACGACGCTGATTATCTGCAATTCACGTGTCGCTGTCTCCGCTGTACCGCTCTGTTCTGTTCTGTTTCTGTCTGGTCGTTGTCTTCTGCTTGAGTTTGCCAAACAAAAAGTTGGCCAAAAAATGTCAAACGTCAGACGGTTTATTATCAGATCGCCCCGATGAGCTGTCACCTCCCCCTAGGCAGAATGGACACGCGAGTAAATTTTTGCATCACCACCGTTCATTGTCCTCTGGCGATCAAAGCGTTTCCCTATATTAACCCGCATGACTCATTCTGGGATACTCCCTATTAGAATTACCCATTGTAGATCGTTGTTTGAGCTTCGAGGGGAGCACTCCATAGCCCAGATAAGCCAAACATTCAATATTTGCTTAGCGTTATTTTTATTTCCTAAGGTACTTGTATCCAATCACTCTCGATGTTTGAACATGACTTTGATCCACTTGCGCACGGAAGTGACAGCTCATCGATTTGGGAAATCGTTTGAGGATATAGTATAGGGGAAAGTTAGCGGAGCCAATGGTCAAGATAAACCAAGCCGGAACAGCTCAGTGACACTGGTTGGTTCGAGGCTAATTAGACGGCAAGTCAACACTCGGCCCGAAGTGAAATTAAATAAATATAATCATTAATTTATCTTGCCCCTGCCCACAACCCTCAACTTAGAGTTTAAGTCGGCTGGGCTGGCTCAATGGCTCACTGGCTGGCTCACCGGTTCACCACAAATCATCAAAAGTCATTTAGCAAACATTTGAAGTTGAAAAATAGCCTTCAACTTGCTTCAATGCACTTGAAGAGAATCAACCGCAGAGCAGATGGACGGGGGTAAGGTTAGGGAATATGGTATATAGTATACCCATACCCATACCCATGCTCTAACCCATACCCATGGCCCTTCCATGGGAATTGGAAAGGGAAAGGGGAGCAGAAATGGGAACGGCAACGGGCAACGGCGGCAACTTTTTACGGAAGCGGCTCAGGTATAGAAGAGCCAAACCAAAGAGTCACGTCACGCGTGGGTGCCCCCCACACAGAAAGAAAAAGAAAAAAAAAAACTAAAAAGAGACTAAATAAAATAAAAGACACACGGATGGACAGTCAGTCAGAGAGAGAGAGAGAGAGACAGAGAGACAAACGGACAGACAGTCCAAGTCTCTGGGCGTACTTAGCGCTGTTGAATAATTTCCACAACCACGAAACCCAATTGAAATTAGAGCCCAGTCACAGAGAGCCCAGTTTCAGATACCCCTCTCTGGCCACATGTCGCTCTGCCACTGCGCTAACAACCTGCCCCGATCTGGTGTAAGCCAAGTGCATTTTCATTTCCATTTCCATTTCCACTTCCATTTCCTCGCCTTTTCTCTGCCAGCTACTCATAATGCGGAAGATTGCACCAAGTTCAGTTCGCTCCTTTACTTTCCGTTCCGTTCCGTTCTGTCTCATGTTGTTTATCTGGCCGCTCGGATCTTGAGGTTTCTACGTTCTGTACTTTGGCTAGAAGGTTTGGCTGGTGGGTTTTTAACACAATTTAGCGGCGTCTCAGTTGGTGGAGGGATATATGTATATATATATATAGGCTCGTCTAGATGGGGGAGGGGTGAAGATCGGATCGGAGTGCTATAACGGCTTTGTCTTCGGTTACCCAGACCTTGTTGCTTGAACATTCAACACCATCAGAGAACGCGGTGCAACAAGTGCATCGGCCAACAAATTTGAATCTCATTTACTTTCATTGCAATTACTCAACCTGCCAGAAACATATAGTTAAGTAATGAAAGATATATATAGCTTAAAAGACAATCAAACCTTATCGCACTGATCGAGTCATTATCAAATCGATTGCTCAATATAAAAGGTTTGTTGCCATAGTCTTGGAATTTACGACGACTTCTGTCATAACCTTATCAAAGAGCCGGTAAACCTCTTAACGATTCGGAAATCGAGGCGCTTTAGAATGGAATTTTGCACTTCAGTTTTATAGTCAATGATTGCGGAAATATAACTTAAATTGTTCCGGTGATAAGAAAATTAATAATAATCTTAACCCTATGCAATACCTTTAACCCTATGCAATATCATCAAAGAAAGAAGTGTTTGTTATAAATACCTTATCAGGATTTCAAATTTAAATCAATGTTAATTAAGCTAAAGAGATTCTTAGGTTTTAGATACCTCAAGTAACTGATTTTGCAATTCTAAGTAAAGTTCTTATTTTAAAATATTTCCAGAACTACCAGACTTAGTGGGAAATTCGATTTAATTTGTTTTCCTTGAGTTTGTTTTCCCAACTCTGTTCAACATTCAACATAGAACCGGCCTCCCCCATGACGACAAATAGGAATTGAATGTGTTTGCGCCTGCGCGCATTTTGAAATTGCTTTTGGAAAATTTTGATGTTTTCATGTTTGTTATTGTTGTGGGCTTGGCTCGCTGCTCTTGTTGTTCTTGTTGTACATTGTTTGTGTAGAATGTATGTGGATATTTGTTGATGATACAATGACGCTGCGCTTGGCAGCTGTTGTCTGTCGTCAGCCAGGTTCTAAAATCGAGTTTCAGGGGGATCCATGGATTCTGCAGCTTGCCCAACGTTTACTTCCCGCACTTCCTTCCGTACTAGACAATGGAGTCCCTCTCTTTCTCACTCATTTTTCAGCTTTACAAATATGTGCTTACCAGAAATTTAAGACAAACTACCTGCTCGAACTATGAACTCTAAAAAACTGACGACAGGTGCCGAGCTTTATATCCGCTTCCGGGCTAATTCATGTAGGAACTAGGTGAGGTAATCGATAAGGAACTAAACACTATCATTCGGTCGAGATATTTTTGCAGCCTTATCAGCTGCTTGCGGTTAGTAGGGTAAGTACCTGTTTCTTTCTTGCTTTTTCCATCAAAAACTGGTAACAACGTAGACCAAGTTGGCCCAGCTCCGTCACAAGTGGCCGACTTTGAACCCTTCTTTGCTTCTGGTTTTTCTTACAATTGTCGCACTTGTCACCAAGCCGCTGCTGCCCCACCTTAGTCCCCTCCTCTTATGTTTTTCCTCTGTTTTTTTTTTTTTTTGTCAGCTTCTTTTATTGTTATGCGCAGTGCGTAGAACAAGTGGAAGCTTTGTTTGACAACAACAACAGCAAGTGAAACATCAGCAGCTGGGGCAAGTAGAAAAAAAAAAAAAAAAAAAAAACAACAACGTTAAGTTTACACGACTCCCAAGCGCTGGAAGGAATCACCTGCTGTTGTTTCTGTAGTCGCTGTTGTGGGCTTGACATTTGACAATAAAGCAAATAATCATGGGAAAAAAGCTGAGCCACCGGCAGAACTGCGACTCACCGCCTAAGTCATCAAAAGAAAATATCAAAAAACGTTAGGAGATCCGGAACCAAAGTCAAAACAAACGAAAGCGACGAGTCAAAGATCTATTAGATGAAAGCAAAACGAAGTTAAGATTGAAGAGTTTTGTGAGGGATTTATATTTTGATTAATCGATTAGGAATTAAGTTTATTATATTATTAATATTGTTTAAATTAATAGTAATAACAATTACATATAAAGCATATGACTTTACATAGGCCATCCTTTCAGCAGCAACCAACCAACTTTTGGTAACGTCATCCTAAAAGTTAATGTAAATAAGAAAGAAGATAAACTTTCTTAGAAATAATTTTACAAATTCAACAACAGTAACTTTAATTTAGTCAACAGAAGCATAAACGAAAATGTTTCATGTTTTACTTTGCTTTTCTATTTAAAACTAATTCCGAATGACTCACTGATCTATGATTTCCACTCTATGCATATAAGCTAACACTATCAAACCCCTTTGACTGGAAAGCTTATCGGTAGCCTATCAGAAGTTTGTCGATTATGAGTAACTTATTGGAAATCAAAGCGAAACCCAATGGCAACTGTCTTCTTATCTATTATTATCTATTGAATGGGTAATATTGATATTAGAAACCTATAAATAAGCCAACACTATCGATTGAGTTCTTAGTTCTCTTTGAACCTTAAAGTGTAACGAAAGTATTGCAGTTTTCAGAAAAGTGCGAGGAATTTTAATAAGTATTAACTTAACATTTCTTACTACAAAGTGTCAAGTTAGCAAAGGTAAGATATTATCCCTACAGCAAGGCAAGAGAGAAAGGCAGAGAGTTTAATAATGAGAGAGAGGAGAAGTAATAAATAAATTAAAATCATGCAAATACGCTTAGGAGATATTTTAGACCAAGAAAGTGAGATTAGAAATCTCGTATTAAGGTCTCGAAATATATGCTGTGATCATTTGACCAACAAAAATAAAAGCTAGCATACTTTTAGAGACCTTTATAAGTGATTCCAAATCGCTAACAGCCTTGATAATAAATTATAAAGATCTCTATTGTTAACCGCAAATCGCCGTCAAGTAATTAATTTAAAGTAATGAAATGGATCAGTCATATTCGTTGAGAGAAAACTGCAGGGTTGAGAAAATGCCGGCGATGCTATGAGAAAATGTTGGAGAGAAAACTCGAAGTTCGAGCGAAATGAGTGTGCCGAAGACATTCGAACCCAGCCGAACGCAGTCGAACAATTTCCGACCAGTGAGATACGTTTGAGTCGTGAGATACGTTCGAGTCGTATCCGTGAGATACGCTGGCAATTTATTCAGCTCTGCTCTGCATCGGCGAGATACGTTTGAGTCGTTTTCGCGGCGTCAAATCGAGCAGACCTGTGTCGCTCCGTAGAGCGTGTTCCCCCAAATAAAAAAAGAATAATACGAAAATCCGCCTGTGTGTTAGGAGCTGAGAAAAAAAAAAAAACAGAATAATTTTAAACCAACATACACAATCAGTTAGTTTCAACCGACCAGTCCGCAGAAACCATTCGACGGCAACGGATCGGGCGCGCTATTGTCGGCAATCCGAGAAAGATAGCCAAATATTATTATTATTGTTCAGACACTCAGAGGGCGTTGATAAAAGATCACCCAGACAACTGCATATCGGAGTGGAGTGTTTTGAAATCAGTGAAATTCTGTGTGAAAAGTCGATTCAAATTCAAAACGAAAAATTAAAGTTACCAGCCAATTTCACCAGCTGGAGTAATCAAAAGTGACCCACCGAACAAATCGACTACAACCAACCAGCCAATCGATCGATCGGTCAATCGTGTTAAAGGACTTTCGGTTTCGTTACGAGTGCGCCGATAAAGTGCCGGATCAGTGATTTTCCCGGCAAAGAAGATTTTTTGCGGAAAAGATACAAAAAAAAAAAAAAAAAAAGAAGAAAAAAAATACAAAAGTGGAAAAACAACAACAGCCGGAGAATCGTCATAGATTTTACTCTCCTAAAGCAACAACTTCTGCAATCTGCAATTGGTATATGTACTAAAAGTATATATTAATACATATATACGCACAGATATATAAAACAAAAACGATCGATTCTCGTGCCCGCGCGTGTGACTGTGTGCGTTCCCATGTTGCATATACATATATGCACGAAAAATATATAGATATCTAGAGCCGACTGTTGCGACGACTTTTCTATATAATCGGCTAGTGAGCACGCAGACAACGAAAAGGTGCACAAATACACCAGCAGATGCGGGTATATATGTATATAAGCATATATACATAATATATATATCTAGCCAAAGCCAAAGTAGAAGATATATATGCGTATAAGCTGAACGCGGCGCACTCTGCTCTGTTTTTTCTTTTATAATTACTTTTGTCTAAAATTAGAAGACGTGTGTGTTGTGTGTGCCCCGTCCGTGTATCCGTATCCGTGAGATACGCGTGAGTGTCCGCGTCTGCTATATCGCACATCATCATCACCGTACACCATCCACATCATCATCATCATCATCATCATCGTCATCAGAGATCAGAGATCTGCGGCGGTGTGTGTGCCAGAAAAGACGACTCGTGAATCAGACTACGGCTGCGACTACGACTACGACTACGGCTACGGCTATATAGACGAGAGATCGCGTATACGGCCAGACCAGACAAACATTATCGTATATCTGGCGGCGAGGATTACAATTACAAGAGCAGCAGCACAGCAGCAGAAGCAGCAGCAACAGAACAGCGGCCGAAGATAAAGCCGAATACGAATACGAGTACGAATATCCGAGCCCCAAAACCGAATCCGAATCCGAATACGAACCCGAATCGCGACGATACGATACGAAACGATCGCGCGCGTGAAAAACCTCGTGAAGAAAAGCGCTACGAGAAAAAGTGGGAGAAAAATCAAACGCCACGCGACCTTAGGCCCGTCCGATTGGGGGGGCGTTCAGCGGGGCGTGGCCGTGCGTCGACTCCTAGCGATCGCTCAAGTGAAACGCGGCGAAATTCTGGGCAGATAACAAAAATGAGTCACCAAAATAAGCAACAGCAACAACAGCAGCAGCAGCAGCAGCAACATCAAAAGCAAAACCAACAGCAACTATCGAGTGCGGCCAAGTGTTCATAAATTAATGCTAGAAATACAGTGTGTTAGACCAGTCCGAAAGACACTATCCCCCTCTCTCTCCCTCTCGAACAGTCCGTCTCTCTCTTGCCCCTGCTGTCGCTCAAAATGCTACGAAACTATCGAAAGTATTTGCAGGATAAACGGAAATACGACAAGCCACAACGTCGAGGCAGTGAAGGTTACATTTGTCACGTTTAGGCAAATTTCAAGGACACAGGACACACCAAACACCCCAGCAGCAGCAGCCGCAGCAGCAGCAAACGCAGCAGCAATACGCAGCAGTAGCAACACGCAGCAGCAGCAGCAGCAGCAGCAACACTCGCTATCGAGATTTTGTACATAAAGTCGGGGCAATAGCAGCAACAACTTTGGAGGACGCCATGTATGCGCAACATTTGCGCAAATGGAGTCTAAAAAAAACAAAAAAGCAACTAATGCCATTGATATTGCTAATTATCAGCTACATGTTGCTACAAGACTCATGTGTGTTGTCGTCGGCGACGACGCAGCAGCAGCAGCAGCAACAGCCAACATTATGGGAAGGCAGCGCCGAAGAAAGCAGCTACTATATACCACTGAGTTCGGATAATGGCAGCGGGAGCAGTGAAAGCGCCGAGAGCAGTGGTAGTAGCAGCAGCAGCAGCAGCAGCAGCAGTAGCAGCAGCAACATCGACAACAATATCTTAAGTAGGCTGCTCAGCCTTACCAGCAATAGTCTTAGTAGCCGTAGCAATGTTAAGTTAAAGCCAGCAACAGTATTCGACGCCGGCAGCAGTTCACCCGCTCAGCAGGAGCAACATGTTGCTGCCGTGCCAGAGCAGCAGCAGCAGCAACAGCAGCAGCAGTCAATGCAAAAAGTTCCAAATACGTTAATCAATAGTCAAATATATAATTTATTATACAATGGCATGCCCAGCGAGGCGGCGAGCAGTAAAATGCGTCGTCATATTCAACCATCACAGCTGCAACATCAGCAAGAGAGTTTAGCGCGATTACCGAGCAACTATAGTAGTCGACCGGTACAGAGCTTTCTCATAGAGTCCTACGAAATGCAAGATGGCCAGTTGGAGGATCGCAGTCCGGAACAGGCGGCGCGAAGTCGTCGGGACGGCAGTAACACCAACAGCAACCGACAGCAACATCGCCCCGGCCATCGGAAACAGTCGCAGCAGGATAGGCGCGATCATCGCCGCCAGCGGCAGGAACAGCAGAAGGAGCAACGCCAGCGCAAAAGCAACAACAACCACCAGCAGCAGCAGCATCAGCAGAATAAGCAGCGCCGGAAGCACCAGCGGAAGCATTGGGGTCACCAGCGATCGGACCGCTACTGCTCTGCCCGGGATCCCGCCCAGTTGGCCTATGCGGCGCCCACCGTTTTCCAGGGCGTCTTCAAGTCAATGTCCGCCGATCGTCGGGTCAACTTTTCGGCTACGATGAAGGTGCAAAAGGTGTACAAGCAGCAACATGACCTGCAATTGCCCACCTTGGTGCGATTGCAGTTCGCGTTGAGCAACACCAGCGGCGAGTGCGACATCTACAGGGAGCGACTTTTGCCGAGGGGCCTGTTACGATCTGGAAACGATCTGCAGCAGGCCTCGGATATATCCTACATGATGTTCGTCCAGCAGACGAATCCCGGCAACTTCACCATTCTCGGCCAGCCCATCAGGGTCACCCACTCGGTGGTGAAATCGGTCCAAATGGCTGTGAGCGAAAATTATGGTGAGTGGATTTCGATTTTATTATTATAAATGGGTGGGTTTTCTAGGGTTTAGATATTATAAGGATATCTTGAAAGGGCTTAAAGGGCTTTGATTTTATCAGAGTTTTCTCCATAAGTTTTCATATTTTCTATTCGGGTAAAACCTTTAAGTAATAATGTTCGATCATTAAACTTATCTTTCTGTTTTGAAATCTGGGAGGTATAGCTTTCAGCTGTGAATGATATGAAAATCTCCTTGAAGTTGCAACCTTTCTCTCTCTCCCACAACCTTTCTTTCGGCTTCCTCCCATTACCTGGCTTTCCTTCTTTCTCTTTCTCTGTTGCAGCTGCCTCTTTCTCCTCTACTTGTTGTTGTTGCTTGATGAAATTTAGCTGCTTTTTGCAGCTGAATTTCTTATTTGCCAACTTCACGCTCTGCTAATATTCACCAGACCGAAATAATTTTATGCAATACACTTACACACACTCACTGGCACACACACACATACAGCCAAACGTTGCGCATGCGCCTGTGCGATTGCAGTTTTTATTTGTTGCAGGTCTAGGCCCTGGTCTTCTTTGGATTCTTCTGCTGGATTCTTTTCTTTGTGCCCGGCTCAATTTGGTTGCTGGGCAACAAAAATGCTCACATCTAGAATTTATTATTGCTGCTGCCGCTGCCGCTGCTTTTGCCGCTGCTGTTGCTAGTTGCACATTTTAATTAAATTCGCATTAACTTTGCTCGCTGTTCCCGGCTTCTCCCTCTCTCCCTTCCTTCCTTCCTCCCCCAAGAAGTGGGAAAAACTTTGAAAACTCATTTCTGTCCGACCGTCTTTTTAGCTCCAATGTGCAACTCACAACGTCATCGTCATCGTGGTTGTTTGTTATTGTTGTTGTTGTTGGTGTAGCTGCTGTTCTTCTTTTCATTGTTGTTGTTGTCTGCATTCGACCTTTGCGGTTGGCGGACTCAACCCAACCCTACGTTCTTCTCCCACTGCTGTTGTTGTAATTATTCTTGCGTCGCGGTTCATGGAGTTTTGCGTCTGTAATGCGACTAAGTGCGATCACCCGGCCCCGCCCCTCGCCGCCTCCCCCGCCTTTCTTTGCTCTTTGCTTTTTGGTTTGCTTTTGCCTTGCTTTTCTCTTCATACCCTTTAAGAAGGTATTCTAGTTTTTGATCAGATAAGATTTATAAGACCATGCCAGACATGGAAGTTATGAATATTTATAGCATATCATTATTTTGAGCTTTATTGACCTTTTATCTTAATAATATTTGATAATTTAAATTAACGAACAAACCAACATAAAAGAAGTAAAAGGAACTATATACATTAGAAAGGGTATTTAAACTTCGTCTACCTTTCAGTTAACTTCCTTTTCTCTTTATTTATTTGTTTTTGTTGCTGTTGTCTTTATTGTCTTCTCCCTCTTGGATTTTGTGCTTTGTTTCATCGCGGGCGCAATTAGATTTTTAATTCATTTTCTCTCTCCATCCACTTCGCTCCTTAGCTGCTGTTTCAGCTTCTGGCTCTTCCGTCATGGATCTCGAGCACGGGGAGAGTGGGAGAACAAGCGAGTATATCCCTCCCCCTTCGCTCTTGGAAGACCCAACCCTTTTCGTATATCCCACAGAAAGATTCGAAATCAGCTGCAATCAGCTGTTCTCTTTCGCTTTGTCTTTTTGGGTTTATTATCTGCTGTTTATTTACTTTTCGCCTTCGCTTCCTTCTCTTTCTCTCCTTCGACTTCACAGACCTCATCAATGAACACATATATATAGCATTAACAGGATATTTACTTTCTGCCCCGACTGATTTATTTTGACTGCGAACGCAGCAAATGCTTGGGAATCGATTCGCAATCCTACGGCTCTACATCTACTCGTACATATATGAAAAAGAAACGATTACTCATCGAAATGCATACTAATCAATCCACCCACACAGTCGCACTTATCGAAGTCTGTCAACTCCTTTCACTTTGCCAATTTCTTCGCTAGCCAAAAGCTGGACAATTTGCATATCAGGCCATAAAGCCTGAAGATCGTCAGCCGGATCGTTAAAATCTTCAGTCCAATCAAAGCCCCGAAATGGAATCAAATCGTGGAGATCAATCAAAATCTGACTCGGATCGGTTATTTTGCAACCTGAACTATTTCGGTGGCTGCAAAATGAAAGAGGGAATCAGAGAGAGGGGTAGAGACAGGGATTTATTATTCATACGCCCCATATGACGACGCAGCAGCTCTGCTTAAAACCAATTAAAATGCCTTCGAACCTGACTGAATCGGTAGTATCATGAATTAACTGGTCGCATTTTATGCCCAATTTACACCCACGCCGTGAACGTCAGTCTCGGCCAAGAGTGTGACTTGAATATGCGAAAAAAAAAGACAGGGGAAAAAACAAAGAAAAGGCCATGTGAAAAATAAATAAAAGTCACATCTTTTGTATTTAGCTGCTGCTGCGGGGCGGGCAGCTACTACGGTTTGTTCTTCAGCTGTGGTTGCTATTGTTGTTGCCGAGGTGTTAAGTAAATTAGCTGCTCATAAAACATGATTTGATCTGGCTGAAGTTCGGATCGGAACAGAATCATCTGCTTGGCAGCTACCGATGTTTGTTTGTTGGCTTTGGTTTGTTTGTCATCCCAAAAGCGGAGACAAACTGGCAGTGGCTAAGACAACATAATATTCATTATATGACATACTAAAAATATATATATACCATATATATTATATAATTATTTGTCACTTGTACTGCACGCAGCATTGAATATTAATTTTTCTGCGGTCCCTCGTTTTTAGTTTTATTTTTTGTCACCTTGCCAAAGCACTAATAATCTCGAAAAGATTTTTCATTGAGAAAAGCAATACACCTACCACCTACCTGGGGTGTGTGTGTTCTACAGTTGGAGGGGAAAAATAAGACCGCAGAGAACCTTGACTGCTGGGATTCCATTACTTGGCTCGACATGGATAACCCGCGACTCTGGTTTCGGTTTCTCTTCTGGGTTCTCCACTCCGGTTGCACTTGTTAGAAAATGGGAAATGTGTTGTGTTTGGCAAGCGATTACAAAACGACAAACAGAAAGAAAACGCCAGAGCGGAAAATGCTTTTCAGCAGCATAACAGTATAACAGCGACAGCACAGCGCAGTTCGCGTATTTAGGTCAACGCCTACGACTTGTAGAAGCGACAAACTTACCCAACGGCACCCACAATTCATCATTTCTCAGCTCATCTCATCTTCTTCTTCTATTATTTCGTTTTTGGGGGTGTCTGGTCTACCTGGTCATAAGATTTTCCACGTCGGTGGGTGGGGGGCGGTCTGCTCATTTAGCGTCACGCCAGAGAAGAGACAACTTTTCGTTAGTTTCTGTCTGTGATGGCTCTTGTTGATTTTTCCTCTATTTTTTTTTTTTATATTTTTTGGTAATTAAGTATGAGTGGCGGCGCTAGACGACGAACCTTGGTTCGTTTAGGTAGTAAGTGTAAAGGGGTTGACTCAGCTCTCTGACCAGCCCAGCCCCGCCCCCTTTTCAGCTCCTCGGTCTTGGTAGGCACTCAAAAAAATATTTTCTAGAAACATTTTAAGATCATACCATAGGGACCCTCATATCTAATAAATCAATGGCCTTCCAAAATAGGTTTCCCCACCTATAGATTTTCCCAAGACTCTTAACTATTTAGAACATTTTCCCACTATGAGGGCGATAATTGCCAGAGGCTCCTTATATACATATTTTTTAGGGCCACTTATGGGTATTTTCGCCGAGTGTAGGGGCCCCTTTGGGACTTGGCTGGCGGGCCGTTTGGCATGCGGGAAATAGAAAATTATAACGAAATGAAATTTTCAAATGGCATGCCATGTTTCCTTGCCTTGCCTCGCGACTCGACTCGCTTGCCTCGTTTATGAGTTTTATGCTATTTCTGGCCGCGCCGACAGCAGAGCAGCAACATCAACAGCAGCAGCAGCACCAGCAGCAGCAGCAACATCACGCAGCTGAAAGCCATTCGATGAGAGTAGGAAGACATCTTGGCCGCCATAGGCTTGCCAAAAAAACAAAACGCACAGAGCCAGCTAGCTGGCTATAGTAGCCCCTCTGAAAAAGTAAATTCGGAAAATAAACCAACGAGAAAATCTCCCTGCTTGTTAGCCCTGCCTGCAATTTGCATTTCAGTTGCAGCAGCAATTGGGTTTTTTTTTTCTATTTTTTGGGTCCATCCCCGAGTGGCGCTAATGGAGCAATCTTGGCCAGATAGAAATAATATTCAAAAGCAAAATAAAAAACGGAACCAGGCGATCAATGGAGGGGCTCTGTTCCGATCCATCTACATCCACTCGAGCACTCGCAGCGGATGTGACATAATCTGATTGCCGGCTGCATTTTATATGCAACGTACCGCCGAAATGGATAAACCGAATGGCATTCATAAGGTCTCGCTCATTTGGACCCATCAATGGGTTCAGATCTGTGTCGGCGCGATATCAAAGGCCCCCTCAGGTGGCGCTTCCTCAAGCATTTGATCTTTAGCCTAATTGGATCTAGTCGAATTTGGAATGCCCTGCCAAGAAGAAGCCATGATAAATTGTTTAAGAAGATAACTCACTGTCTCTGACTCATATAGCTTTGGTTTCTATTTTTAAGTTTCTATATTTAGTTAGTATAACCCCCCCCTTTATTTTGCCAAAAACTCAATTTAAGCTCAATTAGGCATTCAGGATTTGCGTTAATTTTCGCGGCACTTGCGGCACATTCCAAAATACCAAAAACAAAACGCCATTCGTTCGTAAAAAGATAAATGATAAGAGATGTTTTTCGGACGGACTAATTGTTTTGGCTGGCTGTTAATTTCTGCCCGCATAATCGCACTGCCCTCGGCCACCTTCTGATCTACAAAAACAAAAAAGCGCTTCAACAGTTGCGCACGCGGCCAAGATTAATGGCCAAAATGGTCGGCAATCTACTGACTGACCGACCAACCAGCCAGACGAACGACGCAAAGATAGATATTGAA